TGGGCATAAAGGCTTTGCTATGGAAATATTCGTATCCAAGCTGGGGTAACTCAGTTGCTCAGACTTTAGTGCCAAGCACCCCATTAACCAAACAGAGAAAACACAAGCCAAATTCTAATACTTGCACTTAATGAGTTCAAATTTAGCTTTCTAGACAGCGCACTTGTGATTGACTGAACCTGCCAGTGGTTTCGAGTTGGAGAATTAGATCTACTTTTGAAAGAATAGCCATTGATGTGTTACTTTAAATACCAGACTACTCAAGAAGTTAAGACTTTACCAGCATTTTAAATAAAGAAAAGTGCTTTCCTTTATTTTACGGTTTTCTAATTCCAACCTCATGGCTTTTATTTTAGCATTTAGGTATTTTAGCAACACCTTGAGTTTCACTGACTTCTGTGTTCTGAGTAGTTTACTCCTGTGCCTAGTGATATCTGTTTAACTTGTATGTACAGTCCTTTTTAATAAACATTTGTTTCATGTTAAGCTTTCTTCTTGAAGGATATTTTCACATCTGTTACTTGCTTATGTTACCGACAAGCAGCCATATCCTGAAAGGTAAAACTTAGCTCTTTAATTTTAGATTATGCAATTAGACACACTTCTGTTATATCTTTATAGCAACTTTACGGGGCTAAATATAGGGAAAGGCAAATCTGTTTTAATGAGCTTTGGAAAGTGGTAAGCAGAAAGGAAAAGAAGGTAGTAAGACCAGGGTTTACCTAGCCAAACTTCTCAGTCATATTTCTGGAACATAAATTACTGTGTGCTTAAATATCATGATTTCTGCATCTGCGAAAGAGTCACAGAAACAGTGTCTAACTCCCCAAATCAGGTATTTCTACAGTGAAACTCTTCCCTGCTACTGCTGGCTACTAACACCTGAATTGGACACTTCATGTGAATATAAACACCTAATTTGCCCTTGCAGGTGTCCAGCTGTGAAAAGTCAAATGGAATCAAAAAATAACAAGGAAATCATTTCCTGCAGTGCTACAACTTTACACGTCTGTGCTGCAGTTCAACCACTGGAAAGCTTCTACTGGAGTATTTATTTCACTTTGTGACTGATTTGCTGAGCTTCAGCTTGAACTAGTTCCCAGTCAGTACAAACTAATTCAAAATAAGGCACTCTTAAATTAATGCATTCCAAACTCAGCTTTAAAAAATAAGAGAACAAGTCTTCTTCAGATTGGTTTCAGTTTAAAGAAGTCATACCCAAAACTTACTTTCAGGTGCTATTTTACCAAGGGGCCAACAAAAGGGCATATTCTGCACAGTTCCTCACTGCTGAGGACCTCCTGTTCTGTTTTGCTTTCTAAAAGAAGCAAGAGGCACGATTCCCTCTTTGCTTGAAAGCAGGGGATAGATGTCTTCCAGAGAGTCCAGCTTTGCCATTAAGAGATGGTATCTTCCAATAGTGCTTCCTGGAAGTTACTTCTCTCATTAAAGTGGTGCCAGAGGAGCTTATGGGAGCACTCCCTTACCCAGCTGTTATCAGGAAAGCTCGCAGATGACGTATGCTGTGAGCAAGGGAGGTAACCTGCTACATGGGAACAAAAACAGCTCTGGCAAATAACCTATTGCGTTGGCACACCTGGATTCAGAGGAGAACATCTGTCCCGGACCTCAAAGGCCTCAGACCCTGAGCTTGCTTAAATATAAAGAGCATGACTAAGCATGTCTTCAAACACACAGAAGCCACAAAACCTAACCATTGCCCTAATCCTCCCTTGTACCATGACAGCCATCCCAAGATAAAAGAAAAAAGTGACTTCTATTCATATTTACTACCATCTGAATTGTTCAAGCTTTGAAACATCCTGCACTAATCTCAGCTCATCCAACTGCTCTTTCCAGTTCCATAATCCTAACCCCAAATATAACTCTAACATAAGTCATAAAGCTAATGCACTCATACCTTCCTGAAAACTAACACTGAAATATCCCCCACAACTGACATGAGCCTCCATTTTATTTTCTTGAACTTAGCGAGATCCTGTAGTAAAATGAGCTCCCAAACCCCTGATCTTCCTAACTCTAATATTAAAAAGTACAGCATTAAGTTTTGCCTACTAATACATTTCAAGACAAAAGGTTAATAGCTGAAGCCTGCCCCAGCCTTAAACCCACTCCTTCAAGATTTTTACTGTACAACAATGAATTGGGCTCCTCGGCCTCTATTCTCACTAAACTTAACTGTAAGTTCCCTCTCTTCCCAGGAGCCAGGAAGAGAATGAAAGATCAGTGATATTTACTCATTTGTGATAATCTAAAGATCTTCAGTGTCTTCCAGCACCTAAGTTGTTCTACTTCAGTATTTCCCAATTCTTAACTTTAACCCCAAATCTGACCCTCAGCTCATCCTGAAAAAATGTATATCTGAGCTAGGGAATTGAGAGGAAGTTAAGTGAAGCACTGAAGCAAAGAGGTACATTAAAAGGTCAAAACAACCCCCAATTATCATGGCTACAGATTCTAACAGTATTTTTATTTTATTTCATAGAATCATGGAATGGTTGATGTCGGAAGGGACCTCTGCAGATTGTCTAGTCCAACCGCCCTGCTCAAAGCGGACTCAGCTGGAGCTGGTTGCTCAGGACCTTGTCCAGTCTCCGGGAAACCTGTTCCAGTGTTCAGTCACCCTTACAGTAAAAAAGTTTTTTCTTATGTTTAAATGGAATTTCTTGTATTTCAGTTTGTGACCTCTTGTTCTTTCATGGAGTCTGGCTCTGTCTTCTGTACTCCCTGACACCAGGCATTTATACGCATCGGTAAGATT